GGTTGGGGACACCAGTGGAGAAAGTGGAGTCTCCGGGCCAGCAATAACAGGAGTTGTTACTCTCCCAGGCCTGAAGGGCAAGAAGAGGAAGCAGTTCCTGAGGCCTGGAGAAAGTGGCCGTTCAGGTTGCCCAAATGGAGCGTGGCCATTGGCGCACCATCTCAGCCAGCCTCAGTGACTGCAGGGTGGGAACCCGGAGAACAAATCCCCCCTCCTCACTCTCTTCCTGCCTCGTCCCAGCCAGACTGGGCCAGAAGCCACAGGGGGCACCGGAACCTCTTCGGGTCCCTACTCTGCCTCCTCTCCGGGCCTGGAGTAGGGGGGAGATGGGTGAGGAGGGAGGCTGCAGGGCAAGCAGAATGGTCCACCAGGCAGGGGCCATAACTAGAAGCATAGGTGGTGATTTTGTCCTGAGAACTGAGGCAGTTTTTCAAGGCAAGGGAGGAGAAAGGGCAGAAACACAGTGGTTAAGCCAGAACTGAGAAAGGAAGCAGGTGCCTGGAGAGACCTCCGAGGAGACGGTGTTGAAGGCAGTTTGGAGGCTTTTGTGGGGAAGACTGGATTGGGGAGTGGGGTGATGCACGTGCAAGGAAAGGAGGACAAAACAAGTCACGGCTCTTTTCTGTGAGGTGGCAATTCGTGGCCCTGCGACAGGCTGGAGGGCGGGCCACAGGCAGAAGCGGTGCTTGCGGTGGAGGTCGGCATGCAGGCTCTGGGCTGTGAACGTGAGGGCACTGAGTTTGGGACCTCACTAGTGCCACTCCACGGCCCGCTGAACCCATTCAGAAAGCTAGGAAATAGGAGAAAACCAGAAAAGGGGAAGTCAGGGAAAGGGAGAGTTGGGGAGGGAGGTGCATTGGCAAACCTTTTCAGAGCGCGTCTACAAATTCCTCATGGGTGACTGGCTTCCTTTGGAGTGTCAGTTTTTCTCTAACCACATCTGTATTCATTCAAACAAGGAAATTCAGGCATTTGTCAGTATTAATCATGATGTTCAAAACTGTATTTGCATTTTTAAAATGATAGGATGGTATCTTTCAGATACCATCTGAAAGATCTCTATTAGCTTATTTTATAAGGCTGATACTAAAGTTACAAATATTCTGGCTGACATTTTTTTTTAAGTTTATTTATTTTGAGAGAGAGAAAGAACAAGCGGGGGAGGAGCAGAGAGAAAGGGAGAGAGACAGAATCCCAAGCAGGCTCTACACTGTCAGTTCAGAGCCCAACGTGGGGCTTGAACTCACAAACCGTGGGATCATGACCTGAGCCGCAATCAAGAGTCAGCCGTTTAACTGACTGAGCCACCCAGGAGCCCCTCTGGCTGACATTTTTAGTTGCTGGTATACTTGGTTTTCTTCTTGTTTTACTTGGAACTCCCAAAACAGAGGAACTTGTGTTCACTTTCTTATGGACCGGATACTTCATATATATTAAGAATGTTTAGCTTGACTGGTACCCTGCAGGAGGTATTTGGCTGGGAATTTTTTTTTTTGTTTGTTTGGTTCATAAACCAGAACTACAACGATAGGGAGGAGGAGGGCATCCCACAGGACAGGGAAGCTCCAGGGAAGGGCTGAGAAAGACCTCTGAGGAATTGTACCCAAATCTCTTTCCCTCTGGAGATAGGGTTTTCTCAGGGAGCCACCGGCCTGCGGTGGGCGGGATTGGCCAGCGTTAAGCTGGTCTTCAGCTCTTAGGAGCTCCTGCTAAGGAAAACTTTGGAGCAAGTGACATTTAGATTTACATGTAGATTTTCAGAAGCCTGATTTTATTTACAGAAGGATTAATTAAACAGCATGTAAAATATTTATTTGTGGAGAGAGTATCTCTTGAGAGAACTTTTCATTAACCTACCAGATTTAGTCTTTTTGTTCAGTGGAACCCATCTCAGCCACCTTCGATTGTTTGGAGAAGGCCACTGGCATTGAGAGCCAGGGTAGAGGCACAATCACAAACAGGAGAAATACCTGTGTGGACAGAATGTTTTCGGCGGTGCTGGAAATAATGGGGGAGGTCCTTGTGAGTGGGAGGCAGAGAAGGGACACACTGGAATGTGTGATCTCTGACAGGACAGATGGCACCTGTCACTGGCTGCATCACGGATCCTCGGGGTAGTGTAATATTAGGAACGTGGCCCGAGAGGGCCTGCTGCTCAGGAGCCTTGTGAGCTCTGTGCTTTGGTGTCCTCATCTGTAAAATGAGGGTGTCCGTGCTGTGAGGGTTAGTGATGGTGCGTGGGAGGGGCTGGTACTGTAGCGAACACTACAGTAAGCTATTGTCTGTTGCCCAGCAGCAGATTCACAGGAACACAGAAAAGAGCAGTCTGTTGCAGGAGTTTGAAGATGATGAGAAGCGGTTTCCTTTAGATTCTGAGATTATTTGTACTTGAATGTTTAAAGATGACTTTGGGTCATGTGATTATATAATCAAGCTTAATATCAAAGTAGTAGACACTCGTCTAGCTATTTTAGACTTAAGATATTTCGGGAAGAAGTGGGCCAGCTTTCTGAGTTTGGAGTTACTGACCATCTTCAGCTCTGACCCACGTTTACTCTCCAAAGCCTCCTCACGGCTCTCTTGTGGACTCAAGTTGGGTGTTCCCTCCTTGGGACTGGGCCTGGAGGATTTTACAGGATTGCAGGATGTTCGGCACCCTCCAGCTCTGCTTTTAGATTGATCACATTCTGTTTTCTCATCCTGCCACTCTCTCATCTCCCCGCCACGCTACCACCTCTGAGTAGGTACGTTCTAGCCTAGTTCTCTAAAGCCTAGTTCTTCCACCGTTTACTGGTTCACGGAACGCCTGCCGTGTGCTCTTT